TCAATCATTGATGGTCAGTCGGGATCTTCTCCAGTGAGGTGTTGTCCAGAGAGGGGTTGCCGGCAGGACCTCTGGATGGATAGGTGGTGTGGTGTAGTGCTGGTCCGGATGGAGAGGGCATCCTAAGGAGGTCACACTCTACCACCCCTTTTATATGGGTGGGCTACCTGTGACTCCAATGGGGAGGACATGCCCAGGCAAGGGCCAGTTCTGCTCAGATGAAGACGTGCAGTTCCAGGTATCCTCATTGTCTGATGGGATACAATGATGGAGTTGCTGGTTTCTATTCTGTTCCTTGGTTCCATGTTGCTGGTTTCTTGGAGGGTCTTTATCTTTCAAATATTGAGTTTTGTCTTTGGTTCTGGGAGGAGGTCTGTGGTTTCAGGGAGAGTCAATGCAAGGAGGTGGGAGGGTCGTTAAGTTGATGGTCTGGTCATTCAGTTGGAGCTATTTTAGGCCTGCTACTATTATGTCTCAAGCACTCTCATTCACTTTCATTCACCCAGTTTACATGGAAGGTGTAGGTATGAGTCACAGTTGCATCACAGCTACAATAGAGTATGCCCGGGCAGGGGACACAAAATGGAGACTTGACATTACTTTGGCTAGCTTACAGAAATAGGCCTAAATCATACGATATCAATATAAAACAGTAAAAAAAAAAAATCAATACAAACATAATGGGAATACAATATAAACCAATAGAAATCAATACCAAAATAACAGGACACTATTTACAATGATACATGGACAATATAAAAGGGGATTGTTACAGTAATGGAGAGTTTATCCAATGTTCTTAACTATGACTTATCACAACTACTTATAAGGAATAGAGAGGGCAAAGAGCAAATCAGAAATGGTTGGAGAAGGGAGGGAATGTATTTAAGTAAAAAACAAAAAAACAAAACCCCCCAAACACTGGGGGTTTTGCTACATGGGCACAAGCTAAACAGTAGCAGAGCTAGTGAGGGCTGTTTGGGATCAGCCCTTGCTTGCCCCCTGATGCCAATGGCCATTTCCCCAGGGCCCTAGGTTCTGTGTGAGGCCACCCCCCCACCCCCACTAATCACATGCCAAATTCCCTGGCTCAGCGGAGCAGATACAGCAGCTCCACAGGATGGATCCAGTCCATAGACCATATATTTGCTTTAGCTGGTCAGAGCTAGCCAGTTTTCCACCTAGACACTATGACTAAATGTTCTTGAGTCTTGTTCACCATGTGTTTAATCTGAATAGAATTGTTAGATAGGACCCTATTTGTGTTCCATGTAATAGCACAAAAGAGAACTTGCAGATCAGAGACTGGTGGAGCCATGATGCCTTCAAGTAGCAATTTCCCCTTCCTGGTTCTGAGTTGATCTTGGACTTCAAAATACTTGAAGAGCTGTCTAAACTGTGGCCACTTCTCCAGATTGCTGCTTAAAATCTCCACAGTGTCTAGCCCTAGCCACCCTACCAGCATGCCCCCTATACCTGGGTTTGTGAGGGGGTCTTTACAGGACAGCCAGCCACTCTTTTTTTACTTCCTGCACTGGAGAATTCTCCAGCCACTGGATACAGAACCAGAGCAGGGATGTGAATGTTACCATTCAATGACTTGTATTTTAAATTTACAACTTCACACAGCCTCCTGCACAACTAACCCTTTCATATCTGATGGGAAAATGTACCTACAACAGTTGCAGGAATGTACTGAAAATGTAGATTTTGCTCCTTTTAAAGTAACTGGAAATGAGGAGGAAGAGAAAAGCAAAATGTACATGTAGACTAGAGATCTAAATAGGCCCTTCAGTGCAGCTAGTAATAAGGTTGATTTCACCCAGACAATAACACTTAACTATACTCTAGATGCCCAGGAGATCTTTCAACCTCCTGGACATCTAGCCCAAGAATAGTGGGTAATAGAGTGAATAGTATGTATACATGAGATTAGTCTGAAAGAAAAGTAGAGAACACTAGGAACTCCATAAAGGACCTGCTTCTGGTGTGCGTGTCTTATTTTCCTGGGCTAAGTGTGCAGTAGTGCGTTGTAGGTGCAGTCAGTAGAGATCTGTTTCCTGCTTCTTTACCAGGGGACTACCCATTAAAATAACTGTAAACTAGGTTTCACATGCAAGATTCATCTGAGTGGAGGATCTCACAGGGTGATGTTTGTGTTTATCAGTGTTTTTGCCAGCAAAACATAGGAAAAAAAAGAAAATGTCTTCTGATCAGCTAGTTTAAATGTCTTAGTGTTCTTAGGGTCCTTGGGAACTGGCTGAAGGCAAATGACTCTGGAATAGACTCTCAGAGGAGTGTGGGCACCTACCCTGGAGATCTTCAAAAGGAGACTGGACACACACCTTGATGGGATTATTTGACCCCAGCAGTCTTTCCTGACCAGAGCAGGGGGGCTAGACCCAATGATCTCCTGAGGTCCCTTCCAGCCCTAAACTTCTGTGACTGACGCTTAAAGATGTTAGTCAAAATCGGTGTCCTTGTGAAACTTAAATTTCTGAGAAGGATAAGAAATACTTTTTTCCTCACTGCCCTGGAATGTCTCCTTATCACAGAGCGATTAGGAGAACTGAGCAAAGTGGAAAACTATTCAAGGTTACATAATTCACTTATTATCAATATAATTGAGACTATAGCATGTGCATATATACTTTATACACAGTTTTGCAATACACAATTTTGCAGCAGTGTATGCTACTTAGGGCACACTACATTTATTCATATTACTCATTTAATAGTGAGCAAGGCAATTGCTTGTTTATCAATAAAACTTTTGGAGCCAAAACATAGGCCTTTTAGCAAGCTGTTTCCTCTTATGTCTTCCTTGCCTAATTTGAGTTGTAGAGCTTATCATTTGCATAACCTGGCCTGTTGTTTACATCATATATTCTATTGACATGCCAGCTACCACACTTACAAAAATCTACGTTGCCGTTGTCCAAAACTTAAGGATGACTGTGGCAAACTGGGGCTCCCCGCCTAGCCATGGTGCTAGGTTCCCCACTTGCCCTTGGACACGATACCCACCTGACTCACCTGCCACACCTTGTTCTTAATTAATTAAGATGTTAATTAAGGCAGGAGGCTGCCCATTCATGCCCCAATGCTGGGGGGCGCTACCTACAGCTCCGTACCTCCCCTACACTGCAGCCCATACCTCGCAGATGGCATCCACTGATGTTAATCTCACCAGCCCCACACTGGGCTCCAGAATCCTCCAATCAGGACCCCTCTAAGATCCCTCTATTCAAGTGGCCTACCCTGCCTTCATTTGGGCTATTTAGCTCCCTGAAACCATTTTCCCTCTTGGGCGTGGTCCCCCCGGGACCTTTGGCCACACAGGCCCTGGCCTCATCTCCAAGGCCAGTCAGGACCCCAGGCCCTCAGCTCCGGGTGTCCCTTGCTGTGGGCCCCTGGCCCTTTTGACCAGTCTGATCCTGGTCCCAGCATTGACCAGTCAAGGGTACTTGATATCAGGGCTCTGCCATCCTAGCCCCACTCTCTGGGGTCTGCCTTCTGGACCCTACTAACGGGTGACCCACCCGGTTGTGGGAGCTGGGGTAGCTCACACCACGACTGGTGTTCCAGGGTCTCACAGGGACTCTCACTCCCCACCTGGAGCAGCCTTTCTTTGTGGTCTATATGTATATGAACATACTGGGCTCTGAGCCCTGTGGTCTTCCTCCCCTTCACCGGGGTTCCTAATCTTTGCCCCCTTCACTCGGGGCTCCACACCGCCTCCTTCACTGGGGCTACTCATTTCTGCCCCTTCACTTGGGGCTCCACACCGCCCTCTTACTTGGGGCCACAGGGCTTCCTTCCCCGGTGGCCTCAGGTGGCCGTAGCTGTGCCTGGCCCCCACTCTCTTTCCTCAGGGTCTTGCACTCCACAGGGCTCAGGTGGCCGTAGCTGTGCCTGGCCCCAACTACTCTGGTGTTACACAAACCCATCCAAAGGTGAGGGCTACGGTTAAGGCACCCCTACCCGCCTTTCACCAGGTCACCGACCCCACCAGGCCACCCACTCCCAACAGGGTGCAGTTTTAGGTCATACCCAGGAGCAGGAGCCTCCAAACCATCCTCTACAGCTCCTGCCCTTACCTCCAGGATGATACATGAAGCCTCATAGCCAGGCAGTGTTGCTGCCTGCTCTGCCAGCAGCAAAATGCTCTGCTTATATAGGCAGCCCTGAATCTAAAATGGCTGCTGCAACCAGGCACCTGCTGACTGCCTGGCTTAGGCCTTAAAGTGGCAGGCACCAACAGTGCCCTGCCACACACCTCCCCACTTAAAATGGTACCTGGGAGAAGTTTCCCCTGCTGCTCCTCCAAAGCAGGCTCCCCTCAGAGCCTGTGAGAGCCCTCAAGTGGTGAGCACCCCCAAAGGTGCTCCACCACACACCTCCCCGCTTGGAATGAGATCTGGGAGTGCTTCACTTGACTGCCTTCCCTGCTGGGTTCTGCCCCAGCCTACTGCAGCCCCTGCACCACAAAGGTGTTCTGCCACAATGACTTCAGGCCTACCATTTTGCCATGTTCCTTTGGCCTTACCCAAACCATCCAAAATTGCCACAGATAGCAAAACATATTCCTTTATTTTGGTTAGTGACATGTGCCTGTTTTTGGGATGGAGGCTTCCATTGTTTTAGCTACCTGGTAATGTAAAAAAGTTAATTAGCTCTTTATACTGATGAAAGGTTATCTTTCCATCTACCCACTTCACCATAACAGCAAGGTAGCCACAATTTTTTTTCCATACTTAGTAAGGGATATCAGGATTTCTCTTCATCAGTAGCTGCCATGGAATATTAATATCAGAGGTCTAGTGGTACTTTAACTTGTAGGGAACATCTATTTTTCACGTTTCAATTTAAATACTTCCATAAACAGAACCATTTTTCTTATCACATTTTATAAATGCAGCTGCATGAACAGCTTAGTCCAGGAGTTCCCTTTACTCAGTCATTAATACAAATCATATCTCTTGTCTTTCTCATCTCAGAAATCAAATCTATTTTGCTGCACATCCAGAAGATTTAGGAATATGGACAGCATTTTCAGGCATAGTAACTTGAGAAACTCTTCACTCCAGCAACTGTAAGTACAGATTCTTCTTTTCCTTGATCTTTGGAATGTGAACATTAAAAAAGTGGTACCTTTACTTTGAGTTTCCAGTCTTCCAGTTTCCAGTTCTAAAAATCCAATAGCTTCTACAGCATTTTACATTTTTTACTTTTACCGTGACTGTAAATGTATGCATTAGGCTTCCATTTTTACAGTTATGAAAATAATTTCCATGTCACTCTCTGTCATCTCAATGACTGCCTTGCTCAGTGGTAAATAAGTTATATTAATATATTGGTAGTGTGCATAAGTAGTTTTCATTGCTGCCACCTACTGCTTTATAAAGTGAACTTTGTTTATAACAATTATAGTTTTTAAAGAGAAAGCAGTCAGTTTCAGAGAGAGTGAGAGAGAGTAAAAAGCAATTTCATACACTACACCTGCCCTTGAACCTTCCCAGTAAATGTTGGTAATTTTACATTTAACTAGTTTAAAAATGTTTTCTCTCTCTTTTACTGTTTGAAAACCTGGATATATGATGGGAAAATTGACTATGGTGAAAGAGTATATGCTTGACAGTAGCTGTGTATACATGTTCAAATGATTTGGGAAAATTTTCCCAGGGCAATCTTCCTGGTAGAAAAAACTTGCCTGGGGACACCAGAACAGACACTCAAATGCTAAGCCCCTGAAAAACAGAGACCTTGCAGTGCTGATACTGTGCAGCCAGGGTGTCCCTATGGATGCATCTCACAGTGTGCTCTGCAGGCTCCCTCAGTTTGCCTGGAGACAGATATCAGTAGTGGACAGGGTAGCCTGGATTGTCTGACCCAGACTGCTCAGGACCAGCCTATGTCTTGCTGCAGTACAATGTGGGGATTGGGAAGGGGACATGTTCTTCTCCTTGTTTGGCTGGGAGAAGAGTAGTCCAAGAAGTGACACACTCTCTCCCTGAAGGTGCTGGAAGCAAAACACCCTGGGATGCTGGAGGACTGTGTCACAGGGTACCATCTCCGGGAGTGGCCATGAAGCCCCTGGAGGCCAAAAAAGTTTTTTCTACCCTTCTCTTTGGGAAGTCTGCCTTTCACCCATCAAACCTTGTTGTCTATTTAATTAAGGGAGACTGCCCTGGTAATGTAATGACCCCCAGGTGTCTGGGGTCAATGCCTTGTGGGCTAATTTCGTGGCCCCAAACCGCCCCTGCACTATGCTCCAAGCCTGTCAGGTGTTCTCTACTTGATGTCACCTGGTCTCACTCCAAGATATTTGGCCTTTGTCCAGGCTCTCAGACCTCCTGATCCCACACTTTGCCCCTCTTTGGGCTCTTGGACTCCCTGGTCTGATTCTCTGTCCTTCTCCTGAGCTTCTGGACCCTACCGGGGAGCTGCCCTGGTGCCCTGTTACATACCTTTTGGTGGAAAATGCAGGCAGTTTAGTGATCCTAACCCCTGCTACAGAGGGGGTTTGGACAGGGCAGAGTAGATGTGGATCCCAGACGGGGCCCCCACCATGGAGATGGGAATACTGATGAAATGAATGGATGTACAACAGCAGCAACTAATTAAGGACCTTGCAGTTCAGAACCAACAGCAGTTGTAGCAGCTGGTGCAACAGACAGACATCTTATTATGACCACCTGTACTAATGGCATCTCCCAAGCCAGCTGCCACAAGCCAGAGCATCCCCAGAGCATTCCCACAGCTGACCAAGATTGGGACTGCCTGATGACCCCGAGGCATATTTAGAGATATCTGAGACGGTGGCAACTGTTGGCCTCTGGAGCAGTGGGCACTGATCCTGTCTCTGTATCTGTCACAGATGGCCCAGCTGGCCTATCAGGGTCTCAATGCAGAGACAGCTTGTGACTAGCAGGAGGTGAAAACTGTGATACTGGACATCCTTGACATTTCAGAGGAGACCTTCAGACAGCACTTTTGCAAGGAGTACCACCTGCCTGGAGACCAACCCAGCCTCATTGCCCAATGGCTGAAGGACTGGTATTGTCATCAGCCTGAGCCAGCACCAATACAGGAAAGCAGGTGGGGCAGTAATTCTCTGGGAGCAGTTTATCCAAATACTGACCCCTGGGGTAGGAACGGGGTATTGCAGCATCAGCCTGAGACCGCGGCAGAAGTAGTTTGCCTGATGGATCAATACCTGACAGCAGAACCCTCTGGAGGGCATAATCCTGAGGAGACCCTAACACCTTGGGTGCATCTACACGGGATGTTTATTCTGCAGTAGACTAATTAGCTGTGGTAAATTTCATGGTGTATACATGTGCATTCCTATTAGGGCACAGAAACTAATAAACTGAGCAGCAAGATAGTACTTGTAAATATAAATACTATCCTACTGCGGAGTAAAAAACTCCTTAGCAGCACATGTGTAGACACTGGAGGGGCTGGCTGGGACACAAGGGGGCTTCAGTACAGGGATGCCTGCTGGCTAGCCCCAAACCGAAGCTCCCTCGTGCACCAGCCAGCCCCTCCACAGCATGTTGAGCTGTGAGGAGCAGCCCTGGACTAGCCGGCTGATGCCCAGGACGCCCTGTCAGCTGGGCAGCTCCAACCCAGCTCCACAGGCTGTGCATGAATAAACTGAAGAACTTATTGCTACAGAGTTAATTGCTTCTGGGCACATGTTCAAACAGCATGCCCAGGAGCAAAACACTCTGGAGTAATAAGCTCCACAGTTTATTCATGTACAGTAATAGCACATGTAGACACATCCCTTGAGGCTCAAGACAGGCCCCAGAGGCAGAAAGCCAGACAAGGCAGGGTACTCAGGAAGTGCCAACTGGAGCTGTCCCCCCAGCCAGGTTAAACATCCCTCGATCCAGGAGATTGGGGCCTCCACTGGCCTTGGAGGGGGACTTCCAAGCCCATTTCCCAAAACCAGAACGGATGGCCCCAGACAACCTGAAAAGCAGGGGCAAAATATTGCCCACAGGCTGGATCTGGTCTGCCAGTTGACTGTATCTGGCCCATGGCTGCCCCTGCAGCACTTTTCATGGGGTTGAGCCAGGGCCAGATTAATGCATAGGCAAACTAGGCACATGCCTAGGGCCCTAAGTGAAGAAGGGACCCAGTTGTGCTTATTTTACATATTATAATTATTGAGTGAAAAAAGTAATATAAATATATAGTATTAAGTATGGGCCTACGAGTTTGTTTGCACAGGGCCCACTAAAGGGTTAATCGAGCCCTGGGTTGAGCCTCACCTGTTCCCACCTGGGGCAACCTGTGGCACATTCCCTCCCGCACCCACTGATGGCACTGCCTCAGCCCCTGCCTGGCCTAATGAGCATCTACCTGCAGGTGGCCGAGTGGGTGGATGGCAGCTAGGAGCTGGAGATGGATCCCTGCATGCTGGGGCAGGACCTGTCCAGTTGTAGCTTTTCCCCAAGCTGGCTGGTTCTGTGGTACCTGACACACATCCCCATGGCTGCTGACACTTCTCTGCACTACCTGTTACCTGGAGCGGTGCATCAAAGACAGGAGGAGGAGGAACCAGTGGAGGTGTGGGGAGCCAAGCTGTACCCAGGTGGCTGTAGCAGCAGTGAGAGCTGCCCAGACAGGAAGCTGTGCATGCTGGCTGAAACTAGGGTCAGAGCTGAGCCAGGGTGGTGCCATTGGCTTGTACAGAGCAGGTGCAGGCAAGAGCATGATGCAGGCTGCCTGGGGTGGAAACAGGCAGGGCTCTGCCCCATGCAGAGTGCCATGGGAGAAGCCATGGGTTGGCTGGGGTGGAGGGTAGATTGCATCTGCACTGCACTGCTTGGGCAAGCTCTGCTGCATGCACCTCCTGCCCCCCCACTTCCTCCCTCCACCCACCCCTGGCTGGGTCCCAGAACTTAGCACTTGGGCAGCTCCCCACACACATACACACACCCGTCTCCTCTCACTTCCCCACACATTCACACCCCACACACACCCCGCATCCCCTCACACACACAACATACAAAAGTAAGACTTTATTTTGAGCTATTATGCAATTGCCTCTACATACATTACTCAAAAAACATAAATCAGGACAAAAAATATTTTTTGAAATAAAATTAAAATATGTTATAGTAGATTTTTGATTTCTAGTATATGATTTGTTTTCTATCTATAATTTGTTAAAATGATATCTTCTGAAGATTTTGTGTGCGCAGTCCTCAACAGCTCACCCACACTCATCAAGTGGCCTGCTAGCCAAAATAGTTGCCCACCTGTGCCCAAAAGAGATGAGAACTGGGAGCCAGGAGGGAGAGGACCTTAGGGTGAGGGAAGCGTACCCTCTGGTTGTAAGGCATAGGACACCTATTTCATTTGTGGCTGCCCCAGACATTGGGCTTGAGACTGACCACACATGGAGTACAACTGTGCCCAGATCTGAACTGTGGGCTTGGGTGGTCCAGTTTGCAAAACTGATGATCCTGATCATGGTCAGTGACACTAAGATATTCAGGATGTGCCCAAACACTTATTAGAAAATTCCTGCTCCTGGGCCCTGTGGAGCTTCTGGATATGGTGTATATCCAGTGCATTCAGGGGAATGTAAAATCCTATCCCTGGTCTTAGGTATTGTCAGTGGGAAGACCCACAAAGCCAAGCGGTAGGCCTGGTGGACTCCTTAGCCTACCTGGTGATCCTCAGATGAGATTAGGAAGGCCTTGAGGAACTCTTAAAGGGCCTGCTGTTTCAATTGGCCAACCAGACATGCTACAATCCAGGCCCCAGCCTTCAGTCCATCAGGAGAAGACAAGAGTTTGGGGGAGGAGCCATGGGAGTCCACTGATGAAATGCAGCACCATAGAGAGTGGGGATGATCTTAAAGAAGGGCCCTCTGGATCCAGGGAGTCCCTGGAGGAGGTGTAATCACAGGTGGAGCCCGAGCTCCTTGCAGTACACAAATCAGAGCTCCTAGCCAAGGCACCCAGTTTGCGACCAAGCAAAAAATGGATGAATCACTCAGCCAGGCCAGGTAGCAGTGGTTAATTGGAAAGTGTCTAACCCTCAACAAGGCACTTTTCCCCCCCCTTCAAA